TGGTATTCCAAAGTCAATATCTTTATTAACGATTTTGAGTTAACCACAGTTGCCCTATTTGATTCAGAAGCCGACCTTAATTGTATCCAGGAAGGTCTAATCCCAACTAAGTATTACAAGAAATCCAGAGAAACGCTAGGACATATCTTTACTTTACCATGTCTGTCAAAATAAGATTTGTTTTAAGACGTCATTTGTGTTAGTCAAGAATATTACAGATGAGGTTATTTTAGGTTTACCCTTCATATCTTTACTTTACCCGTTTAAAGTAGAATATGATGGAGTTACGTCAAGTCATCTAGGAGAAAGAGTCAAATTTGAATTCTTAACCAAGCCAGAATTACACAGTCTCAGATTACTCCAAGAGTTTGCAGTTTCAAAAACAGTCTGCCTAATTCAGAGTAAAAGTAAACAAGTTAATTTCCTCAAAGAAGAAGTCAAGTTAAAAAGAGTAGAACAACAGTTAAGTATCAAGTCTCTACAGTCCCAAATTATTGAGTTTGAAGAAAAGTTAAAAAATGAGGTTTGTTCCGATTTGCCCAATGCTTTCTAGCATCGAAAGCAGCATGTCGTTACTTTACCTTATGTCAAAAACTTTAGTGAAAAGAATATTCCCACTAAAGCCGCCAAACCAATCCAAATGAGTCAAGAGTTAACAGAATTATGCAAACAAGAAGTCACAAATTTAGTCAAAAAGGGAATAGTCAAGAAAAGCAAATCACCCTGGTCTTGTCCCACTTTCTATGTACAGAAAAATGCTGAGTTAGAAAGAGGGCCCCACGATTAGTCATCAATTACAAACCCCTTAATTCTGTTTTAGAATGGATAGCCAATTCCTAACAAAAGAGACTTAACCAAAAGATTAGACAAGTCTGTCATCTTCTCCAAATTTGATATGAAAAGTGGTTTTTGGTAGATTCAAATTCAGGAGTCAGATAGGTATAAAACTGCATTTTTTACTCCCTTCGGTCATTATGAATGGAATGTAATGCCCTTTGGGTTAAAAAATGCGCCTAGTGAATTCTAGAATATTATGAATGAGATATTCAATCCTTTTAGTGAATTCTCCATAGTCTATATTGATGATGTTCTTATTTTCTCTCAGTCAATAGAACAACATTGGAAGCATTTGCATAAATTCCTCCAAATAATTAAACAAAATGGTCTAGTCATTTCTACTAAGAAAATCAAGTTATTCCAAACTAATGTAAGATTTCTCGGATTCAATATTTATCAGTCACAAATCAGTCCAATAGATCGAGTTATTCAATTTGCTAATAAGTTTCCAGACCAAATTCTTGATAAGAGTCAACTCCAGAGTTTTTTAGGATCTCTCAATTATGTTTCCGAATTCTACCAAAATCTTAGAAAACAATGTAAGCCTCTCTTTGATATGCTTCAGAGTAATCACCCTCCTTGGATCTCCACTCATACTGAAATAGTTAAACAAGTCAAAATCCATATCAAGAGTCTTCCTTGCCTTGGAATTCCTTCAGTCAATTCTTTCAAAATTGTTGAAACTGATGCCTCTGAAACAGGTTATAGAGGTATCCTCAAACAGAAAGTCCCTCTGAGTCAAACAGAACAAATTGTCTGTTTCCACTCTGATATTAGGACAAAATCACAAAGTAATTATAGTACTATTAAAAAAGAAATTTTATCTATTGTATTATTGTGGGACCAAATTTCCCCACAAGAATATTCGATTGGAAAGATTCCCCTTTCTTCTTTGCCGCCTCTTTCTCCCTGCAAAATAGAACAAATAAGAGGACCACACCCGGGGGGTGTTGGCCAAAGGCCCTCCGATGCCTAAGTTAGTTCAATTGATTTAGGGAAAAACCAATAGCTAAATAGGGTACGGAGATATATATGTAAGGTGTAAACCGGGCGGCCGGAGCCTTATGTAAGAGAGAGAGAGAGAGAGAGAGAGAGAGAGAGAGGAGGTGGCTAGGATTTGTGAGGGGAGGATCTCTACAGAGTTATAGTAGAAATTTTGACGTACCTCATTCCTTGTGCGTGGCCAAGTATTTATAGGGGGCCTTGACAAGGTTGGTGAGGTTGGTGAGGTTGGTGAGGTTGGTATATTTAGGGATTTGATTAATTAGGGATATAAATCAAATCCCTAATTGTGGTAGGTATCCGATCAATTCCCAATCTGATTAGGTAACTTCTCATTCAATTAGGAAATGTGGTAGGAATCAAATCAATTTCTAACTTAATTAGGTATTTCTCAATTTAATTGGATAACCCCCAATTAAATTGAGTAACTCCCAATTAGGTTTAGGAATTCCCAATAGGTCAAATTATCCCCAAATGGAAGGAATTATTTGACCTAGGGTTCTGATTTAATTTGGTTCCTACAAATGCCCCCCAGCTTCTGCATGGCGCGTGGTGGCATGTAGGAGATGTAAATCATCTGTTGGGCTGTTTAGTTGTAACTAGGCTTCCTTCGTGGACATGGGCTCCTGAGTGGAGGAAGTTGGTGGTCTGCCCCCTGCTCAGGATGTTGAGAGATGGGAGCAGAGTGGTCCAGATTCTGATGATCTGCCAGTTGGGCAGGAGGAGTGTTCTGCTGAATCTCCCCCAAAGAGAAAGGCTGCTGCAAAGTGTCTGCCGCGCAAATCTCACGGCCTGGAGTTCCGGGCCGAGGGGATGTGCGTTGACACGCGGTTTCCTGCTTTTGGGTGCGTTGCGGTTGTGCGCGGGCGTGCCAGCACAGTCTACCGTGCGTCGAGATGTTGATGAGTGTAGGATGGATAAGTGGTGCGCCTGTTTGAACTCGTCTTCTAATCAAACGATTGTAGCCGATAGAGGAACTAGTCTCGGCTGTTAGTTTCACGGCCTGAACTACAAGGCCGTTGAGTGATGGTGTTGGTGGTGGGTTTTGGGCGGTGCTCCGGCGCGTCGCTCAGGGAGCGACGGTCGTATGATATATGGG